TCACAGTCACAATCACAATCACAGTCACAGTTCCTACTGAACTGATCAATTGGTTCTTTTGGCTGTTGCCTCTAAGTCATCAGCTCTAGATGATAAATTGTAAAGTTCACTTTCATATGAGAGTGATCCTCCAGCATCTCCCATAGTTCAGCAGGATCTTTCTGATCCTCTTCAGACCGACCTGAAACAATGGCCCTGTGTAGCCCCTTGTTTCTAATGGCTATATTTATTTTCACCGCTTGCTTGCCCATTCTGCAGTGGCTCAATCTAAAAAAAACTCCATCATTTGTTTAAAAAATCTAAATTCAGATAGGACATCTGTAACCTTCCAATTCACATTAGGGAATTTGCTAGTCATCTTCCTATGGGCCCCTGAGCTTTGCAGTTGTTATTGATGTTGAGGGTATTTGCTGGATTAGTAGACAATGCAGACAATGATCTTCATTTGCTTTTTTCTAATCCTCTCCTGTACTGTTTTTAGCTGTGGCTCAAGTTTTTCTGTGTCACATGCATTTTTCCTTCTGTTCAAGAATTATGTCCCACTTCATTTCAAAGGCCCTGTGCTTTGAAGTCCAATTCGAAGCTGACATGCTGCTCCCATGGATCACCAGCCAGCTTACAAATGAAATCATACTTTACCTGTGGCACTTGTATAGTAATTATTTTCTCCAGGTTCTCAATGTAAAGGTAACTTCTGTCCTTTGAATCTTGGCTGCGGCTTTGTGTTTTAGGAAAAATCACCAGCGATGTATCTGTCATATTCTTGTGTTGTGTTCCTTAACACTGAATTATTGGATTATTAACCAGCACAACTCCTAAAGCAGTAACACAATAACGCACACTTAGAGGTTAATCTCCTTATTGGACAAATATGCTTTTAACTACACTGCCAGGTAGACCTATCTGGTATCGCACTTGTGGCTACAGCAAAGTTATAGGTTGACTGTTTTTTTGCCTGCCCTGACAGAATAGTTAGGAGTATATAATAAAATCAAGCAGAGTCAGCATGGCAAGGAGAATTAGTAGATTAAATATATTTAGATTTCTAAAAGCATTTGGTAAGGTACCACACATAAGGCAATGTAATAAGACAAGAGCCCATGATGTTAGTAATACAGTAGTACGGAGCGAGGATTGGCTGACTAATAGAAGACAAAGAGTCAGAAGGCATTTTCAGGATGGCAATCTGTAACAAACGGAATGCCACAGGGATTAGTGCTGGGCCACAATCATTTGCAATAAATAAATGACTGATGAAGAAAGTGAATGTATTGTCACTAAGTTTGTGGATAACAGAAAAATAGGTGGGCAGGCAAATAGTGAGGATGCCACAAAGAGTCTGCAGGGAGATATAGACTGCTTCGGTTAGTGAGCAAAACTTGGCAGTGGAATACAATGTTGGAAAATGTTGGAGAAAAGAGGAGCTGAATATTATTCAAACAGAAAAAGAATGTAGAAATGTGCGGTATAGAAGAATTTACTTCCGCCACCTGCAATCTGACCCCACCACCAAAAAGATATTTCCCTCCCCACCCAATCTGCCTTCCATAGGGATCACTCACTCTGTAACTCCCTCGTCCACTCCACACACCGCACTGACTCCACTACACCCAGCACCTTTCCCTGCAATCGCAGGAAGTACTACATCTGCCCCTACACCTCCCCTCTCACCTCTGTCCAAGGCCCCAAACAATCTTTCCAAATCCGACAGGGATTCACCTATATATCCTCCCATCTGGTCTACTGTATCTGTTGCTCCCGATGTGCTCTCCTCTACATCGGTGAGACCAAGCACAGACTCGGTGATTGATTCGGAGAGCGTCTACGCTCCGTACACTATAATCAACAACACCTCCCAGTTTCCAACCATTTTAACTCCCCCTCCCACTCTCTTGGTGGGCCTCCTCCAGTGTCACAGTGATGCCACACGTAAACTGGAGGAACAACACCTCATATTCCACCTCGGGAGCTTACAGTTTGATGGCCTCAATGTAGAATTCACCAGCTTCAAAATCTCCCCACTCCCAGCCTTATCCCATGTCCAACCCTCCCTATCATTCCCGCCTGCTTGACCTGACACAATCTGTCCATCTTTTTCACCCACCCTTCCCATTGACTAACCTCCACTACCCCCACCTGCATCCACCTATCACCATCTCACATACCTTCCCCCAGCTCCACTCCCCCAATTATTTCTGAGCTCCGTTCCCCCTCCACAATACTGATGAAGGGTGTACACCCGAAATGTCAACTTTCCTGCCCCTCTGATGCTGCCTGACCTTCCTGCTGTGCTCCTCCAGCTCCACACTGTATTGACTCCAGCATCTGCAGTTATTGTTATCTCCCCCAAGTTCCCTGCCTCTTCTGAGAATTGTGCACTGTCTTACACAAAGTACAGAGTTTGGAAATTAGAAGTGGAACATGTGGAAAGAATGGAATGAGACCTTGAGTGAAGGTTTTCTTTCCCACAAGGGATGGCATTGGGATAAGGATGAGAGAGTTGGTGGTTCAGATGTGGGTAGGAGAATCTGCTGTAATGTGTATTGCCCTGAAGAGCACTGTGTAGTTGGAGGGTGGAGGTGATTGTGCCATTCACCTTTCTTGCTCTTGTGAAAGCATTCAATCTCTTTTGAAGCAGTGCACCTAACTACAAGGGACAAAACTCTTACTGCTCACTGCCTCAGTGAGCCCCCAACTCTCTAAGCTGAAGAGGGTTCAGAAGAGATTTACCAGGATGTTGCTGGGACTGGAGGATTTGAGTTTTCAGGCAAGGCAACTTCTTTTCACAGGAGTGTTGGAGGTCGAGGGGTGGCCTTATAGAGGTTTATAAAATCATGAGGTGAATAGATAAGGTGAATGGCTGGTGTCTTTTCCCTAGGGTGGGGGAATTTATGACTATTTTTGACATATTTTTAAGGTGAGAGGAGAAAGATTTTAAAAGACATGAGGGGCTATATTTTTAGACAGAGAGACACTTGTGTATTGAATGAACTGCCAGAGATAGAGGTGGATGTGGGTACACTTATGTTTGGAGGGATATAAGCTAAGCCCAGGCAAGTGGGCCTAGTTTAGTTTGGGATTGTGCATTGGCATCACTCCTGCTGTGCGATGAACCACCCTAACAGCAGCAGCAAGCCCACTGCTGAGGCAGTTGGGGTTTTGACCCAGGGCCCACCCCTTCCACAGCTGAGAGTCTGTCTATTATAATTCCATTCTCTTCAGAAACTTCTAAATTCCTGACCACGGAAACATAAACAAGTTCTGATGGGCCAAAGGTCAGTATGTTGCCCTGTGACCGGAGATCATGGTCACTCTGCATTGCAATATCCTAGGCCAAGGATGTGTCTAGACAGTATTCTGTACTGCGTGTCTTAGTTTTAGCTTTAAACAAACACACAAGCGATTTTCAAGTAAATGCAATCAATGCAGTTAATTTGTGTGACATATAGATGTCACAAACAACAACGATAATAACATTCTATTTCTTCTTATCGAAAGCAACAGAACAACAGCCTTTGAAACAGTGGCAAGCCCCAAACTAATCAATGCGGCCGATATTTCAGTGTATAAGTGTTTAATCTATAAGGAAGGCTCTCTATGGAGACAATGGAAAATGATTAGTATTAAGTCATAGCCTGCAAACCACATTGACTTCATTCCAAAAATAACATTTTGGGACAACCCATACAAGTAGTGCCACATAGTAAATGCAGCAAACTTACTGAATGACTTTACACACCTTTACAATATCTTTACTGCTAGTGTTTTCATTCAGTCATATCTGGGTCTGCTGTAAACTGATTGATAGAGATAGAGCATTATAATTAGTCAACAAGCTCCATTATTGTTGTAACTCACTCAGAGATAGTAAGAATTGCTGACGCTGGAGTCTGAGATAACACAGTGTGGAGCTGGAGGAGCACAGCAGGCCAGGCAGCATCACAGGAGCAGGAAAGTTGATGTTTTGGGTCGGAACCCTTCTTCAGAAATGGGGGAGGGGAAGGGGGCTCTGAAATAAATAGAGGGGGGTGGGTTGGGCTGGGGAAGGTAGGTGGGATGGTGATAGCAGGTAGGGAGTGGTGGGATTGGTCAGTGAGGTGGGAGGAGCGGATAGGTGAGAGGGAAGATGGACAGGTCAAGGAGGCGGGGATGAGAGGGAGGGTTGGTCTTGGGATAAGGCCGGGGGTGGGGACATTTTGAAACTAGTAATGTCCACATTGAGACCATTATCACAACGACCCCACCCAGAAACTGGAGGAGAAGCACTTCATATTCTGCCTCGGGAGCCTACAGCCCAATGGCCTAAATGTTGATTTTACTAGTTTCAAAATCTCCCCACCCCCGAACTCATCCCATGTCCAACCCTCCCTCTCATCCCCGCCTCCTTGACCTGACACAATCTGTCCATCTTCTCTCCCATCTATCCGTCCCTCCCACCTCACTGACCAATCCCCACCACTCCCTACCTGCACTCACCTATCACCATCCCACCTACCTACCCCAGCCCCACCCCTCCTCTCTCTATTTATTTCAGAGCTCCCTTCCCCCACTCCCCGCCCACATCCCCGCCCATTTCTGAAGAAGTGTCCCGGCCTGAAACGTCAACTTTCCTGCTCCTCTGATGGTGCCTGGCCTGCTGTGTTCCTCCAGCCCCAGACTAAGTAACCCCCACTAAAGATGTGTCGTAACTTTATTGAAGATTATCTGCAGGATGTAATGCAACAACGCACTAATATTCCTTTAGTAGCACCTCCCAAGCTGTGCGTTTCAGGTCCTTGAAGCAAGATGGAAGCAGGTCCATGGCTAAAGAAGTTTCTAATCAAGTTACACATCATCCTAGCTTGAAGGAAAATTGTTGTTGTTGGGAAAAAGTATTGGAACTTGCTGCCAAGCAGAACTGAGGGAATACCTTCACCCTAGGAGCTGCAGCAATTGAAGAAGATGGCCCACATTGCCTTCTTTAGGGCAACAAAGGACAGGCTAGATATGTCCATAGCATTTGTTTTGCAGTTTTCAAATCCTTATAACATTTTTATTAAATTGCGTTAAGGTGGTAGATTGTATTCAAAGCTGTTTCTGAGTTTTGATGGCTTTTATGAATGGTCAACACTTTTTGAATCAGTTTATCAGAGTTTACAGTCATGGTGTTTACGTGAACTCTGTTCTACTTTCACTGTGTACTAGTGAACCGTGACAGCCCATGAGAGAGAACGTGAGCCAGCAAAGGCAGACAGCAGTAAATCTTTGTCTCTTTGTGCAAGACACATAGCCTGCAAAAATGTTAACATATGATGATATTTTAAAGGACATCGGAGAGTTTGGAAGATACCAGAGGTGGATTATTCTGCTTTTGTCTTTAAGTGGGGTAACATTTTCATTCCTGATTATCGCATTTGTTTTTCTGGGAATGACTCCAAATCACTGGTGCAGGGGTCCCCCTGGCCTATTGGCGCTAAGAGAAAGGTGTGGATGGTCTCTGGAACAGGAAAAGAATTATACCGTGCCTCTGGAGAGATCAAGCAGCTCCTCGTACAGTCGATGTGAAAGCTATGAGATAGACTGGAATGCAACTTTTCTCACCTGTGAATATCCTGTATCATTAATGACTAATGATTCTGGAGATTTTCTACGCACAACTTGTAAAAATGGTTGGTCTTTTGATGGTTCACGAACAACAGTTGTCAGCGAGGTAACTAGAAATCATATTTGTTTCATGAATGTACAGCCGGGTGAATATTGGCAAACCTGTAATGTTCCTGCTAGTTCCTTTTAGTCCACAAATGGGTAATTGTGAAAGTGGGCCTTTTTAATTTTGACTACACTAGGTATAACTGGAGGTTTCATAGAATCATAGAAGGTTACAACACAGAAGAAGGCCATTTGGCCCGTCATGCTTATACATGTTTGCCCCATCTTGACGTATGCCTCAGTTTTATCCTTGTAAACCTGTAAATTAGTCCTCTAAATATTTGTGTAATTTCATTCTGAAAGCCCCTATTGACTGTGTTGCCACCTGCCTTTCAATTTGTGCATTTTAGATGCTGATATTTCTCTGTGAAAAATATATTCTCCTATTTCCAACCCTCGTATTTGCCAATGATTTTAAATGTGCATCCTTTAGTTAGTGATTCAATCGTTTCTCCCTACTTTCTCTATTTAAACCCCTCATAGTTTTAAATATTTCTATTAAGACTTCTTTCTACAATCTGCTGTAAGGAGAACATGCCCATATAATTGATGCCTCTCATGCCTGCTGTCATCCTTGTAAATTATTGACAGTATGCCAGGAAGTAAAGGTAAGAAAGACTGTTTATATTTTCCTTCTGGTGTGTGGTAACACTTAAAGTCTCATTTATAATGGTGAATAATTTATAGAAATTGCAGTAAATCATCATAACTTCTCCATTCTGTAATCTGTATGTCCGGTGTTTCCATGTAAACGTCCTTTTGTCCTCAGGTAGGGGGAAGAAAAGTGCAGAGTGCAAACCCTCCAGATTTCCTCAGACAATGATTGTGAGATCTCATAGAAACATGTAAAATCCTGATGGGACTGGACAGGCTAGATGCAGGAAGAATGTTCCCGATGCTGGGGAAGTCCAGAACTAGGGGTCACAGTCTAACAATAAGGGGTAAGCCATTCAGGGCTGAGTTGAGGATGAATTTCTTCACTCAGAGGGTTGTGAACTTGTGTAATTCTCTCTCACAGGAAGCTGCTGGGGCCAATTCATTAGATATAAAAAAGAGGGAGCTGGATGTGTCCCTCTAAAGGGATCATGGGGTATGGGGAGAAAGCAGGAATGGGATACTGAAATTGCATGATCAGCTACTCCTGCACCTATTTTCTACATTTCTATGTTTCTATTGTGTTATTACATTAGCACAACTCCAACAAGTTGTTTCCTTTTCTCCTGATACTGAGACCAGCAGCAGAATTCTGGCTACAATTTTCACTCATGTTTCTTTCTAGCTGAAATTACACATTTTAGATAAAGAAAGACTTTATAACTTAACCTACGAACTAAGAATGAAAAGAGGAACAATCTGTAGTTGTGTTAGGTAAAGTCGTCATAGTCTTACCAGGGCTGCTCTCTCATTTGAGAGAGATGACTGATAGTGGTTTAACCTCAGTATCACCACATCTCAGGCAATTTCTGAAGAAGGGTCTAGACCCGAAACGTCAGCTTTCCTGCTCCTCTGATGCTGCTTGGCCTGCTGAGTTCATCCAGCTCTACACCTTGTTATATCAGATTCTCCAGCATTGGCAGTTCCTACTATCTCATCTAAATTACTAGCTTTGTTTTGATCAATTTCTGAAAAAGGATTAACTAGTTGTAGATTTAAATTATGGCACCAGACTTAAATTATGGCACCAATGTTCTGCATATGTAACTGCAACAGTTGCTTACTCGCCCGAAAGGGATTGTCTTTTATGGCTGACATTCCCTCTTCAATTCATTGTAACAATCTTGATGAAGAGGCACATCCATTACTCAATGCTGCTCAACCAACTCTAACAATTTCATGAATGGCTTCCCTCATCACAGATGGACTGAGGATGTTTGCTGGAAATTCCACAAAGGTCAGTTTCATTCACAATTTCTTGAAGGACGAAGTTTCCCATTCTGCCCGGCAATGGGATCTGACAAAAAACAATTTCTGTGCTGATAAGAGGAGATACTATTCACACAATCTCACAGAAAAAAAAAGCTCATCCTTGTCCCTATCTCCATTTATATCGTGGAATACTGCTGACCTGCCATATCGAAACTGGAGCAGTGATTCAGTGAACCCAACAGGAGTAGCATGTCTTATTTCTGATGTGTCGTATTATTTTCATCTCTTGGTCCAAAGGCAGATCCTCTGCAGTCATTTGCCAAACCACAGCAAAGCTTTGTGAGTTTTCTTTTGCTCAAGGTAACCAAGGAGGCAGGTCTCATCTGGAATGGGAATCTAACTTCATGATGTTGGTATTGACCTAATCTGTCGAACAAACTGAGCTAGCTGGTCCCTCAACACACTATGACGTATGGGTTCTTTAGTCATCCTATAATGTACAATCCTATTCACTTCATGCCTAAGGTCAAATTTTGTTTCATAGGAAATACAGGTTTGCTTTGAGCTGAGGTACTTTGGGAGAGGAGCCAGAATAGTTCCACAGGGTAGTGGCTATTCTCATGGTTATGCTGGATATAGCACAGATCACAGATTTCTAGATGCACAGGATGAAGGTAGGGAATTGATGAATATGGCAGTGACAACAGTGAAGTGGTAAAAATGCAACAACTTTCAGTAGAGATGGAAGCTATTTAGCCTTTGATTTCTGCACTGGTTCTATGAAAGTGCTATCCCTTTTAATGTGTTCTTCATCAAATATATATCCTTCCTTTCCCTTCTTTTTTCTTACTTTATAAAAATTATTAAAAACTACTATTGTTTCTTCACTATTCCAGCAGTCCACTGTGTAAAGAAAATTCTCCCAACCTTTCCCTTCATTTGCTTTGAAGATCTGACTATTAAGCCTTCAGTTCCCAGGGGAAATCCTTCATTTTCACTGTTCACCCTGTTGAAGCCTTTTCTTTATTAATGTAAGAAAGTTTGACAGTACTACAGAAAAGGAAGGATATAAAGAGGGTAGAATTCCAGGAATCTGTTCAGGAGCAAGCCGGTGTTATCAGGAAAGAACCAGATGTATCAGATGTATTTGTAACATTTGAGATTCCGAAATACATGGTAAATCTATACAGCTAATAAACTATCTCCGTTCTTCCCATATTATCATCTCCCAAAGTATGAACTTGTGTGTGAAGATGCCTGGAAGGTGGATATGTCTCAAACATGTATTGAAATCGGCTTTTTCCTAGGAGCACTGATCACAGGCTATTCTGCAGATAGGTACGTGACACCCACAGCCTGATTATTGCCTTGTCCACTTACTCCTTCATTGCCTAAGTGAAGCAGTCTTTCAATTTTCAGGTTTGGACGAAAGCTTTGCTTGCTGGCCTGTCTGGCTGGAACAGGAGTTTCTGGGATTGCTGTCGCTGTTGCACCAACTTACCCAGTGTTTGTGATTTTTCGAATCCTACAAGGCTTATTTGGAAGAGGGATTTGCTTGATCAATGCTGTCATTGGTAAATCTTACATCTGAATGTGTTTTGAGTGTAGTAAATGCCTTTTAAAAGTATAATTTTGCAATCATGGCTCTTAATAACATAAGCCTGCTTCCATCCACTAATCCTTCCTGTTGATACAATAATCCAACTATATTTCACTCTCTCACTTGATATGCTGCCTTACCCAAGAGTCTTCTAGTCTGTTGTTGTCAGCTCAAAGCTCAGTTATAGTCAAATAAAATAACCGTGTATATTTGATGTTTTATTGTGTGGCTATCATTATAACCAACAGAACAAATGAACTTGCTTTCTCTTTCAGCTGCAGAATTGGTTGGACCAAGATACAGAAAAGTTGTTATAGTTGTAACACAAGCAGCTGTCTCATCGGGTATCATGGTACTTCCTGGTTTGGCCTATTTAATTCGATCTTGGAAAGGAATCCAAATGGCCATTACCATTCCAAACTTTGTTCTGCTGCTTTACTGCTGGTAATTTGAATTTGCGGGGAAAGTTCACATTGATAATATTGCACCGCAATCACTTGCTGTATGATGGAATTGATTGCGCATTATTGACTATTTCCACTTTTAGCTTAATCCCAGAATCTCCTCGATGGTTGTTGACTCGTAAACGGATCAAAGAAGCATTGAAAATTGCCCAGGATATTGCAGAACAGAATGGCAAGAGTCTCCCATCGACTTACAAAGAGGTAATAGATTGTGTTTTATGCTGGGATATTGGATAACCAGCTATGAATTTCAAATGTCGCAATCTTGATGCTGTACAGAGCTTAAAATGTGTAAAAGGTTAAAAATATTGTTATGATCCCTGTGAGGACCTTTTAACCAAGGTCACTGAATTTACTGAACACCACTGCAAATGAAGAAAATAATGGCCAAGATTCCATTTCTTTTAACTTCTGTTTTAAAATGAGTCAGAGTCAATCATAAAGTAACAGGCAAATCATGTCCATAATGACATATAAATAAGAAAATATTTTTGTATCCAGTGAACAAATTATACAATATTATGTATGGATCATATATATTGAAAACATATAAAAGCAAACCCTGAATAGTTTTGTCATGGACATGTCTAGGCCTAAATATACTTTGAGGTGACATTGGTGTCACTACTACTCTGCTGTCACCTATAAAGGATCAGTAATGGGACCAAAATAAGAGAGTTCAAGCACCCGTTTAATACTTAGTGAATATCTGACCACTCCTACTTCCCCAACACCTGTTCAGTTTTTGGTTTTTTTAAGTCTATCTGTATGTTTTAATATCATTTACTCCAAGATTGGTCCTTGGATTCTGGGTTTGTGAGATATGTGGGTTTTTCTGTGTGTCTGAAGTTATCAATTAAATTGAAGCATTTCTGCATCTATGGTGATTTATTTCAAAAGCAGTTTTTGAGGCATGGCTTTACAGAAATGGGTTTGTGCACATCGCTCATGGACTTATGGGTACTTTAGATTGTTTTGCAACTCAGAAAGGTAAATTATGGGGCCTCAAGGTTTGCTAAAGACTTTTAGGGAAATACCCATAGTTTACACAGAGTTTTTTTTGTAGTTTTACTTTGTGATTGAAGCAATCCTATAAAGACTTTTGAACGGGATGGCTGTGTAGACCAGTTCTCTTGAGAAGGGAAGGATATATAATGAACTAAGTTACCTTAGAGTGAAGAGTGAATGTTAGTCCCAGACTTGAAGAGTTGGGACAAAACCCTGAAGAGGTTATTTCATACTGAGTACATTTAGCAGATATATACTAGCTCCAGGAAAAAGCTGTCTGTAGTTCCAGCCTAAATGTTGACGTCACAAGTGTCTTAAATGTGCTGGGTACAGTCCCATCCATTGTCTTTTAGCTGAGATATTGTCTGAGCTGTAACTTGAATGCCTCTCTACTCTGCAAGTTCGATAAGGTAGAAAAGAGGAACTTGCACCTCTGAGGAAACCATAGTTAATGAGTTTTGGTTTACCGTTGCAGAATTAGTTTTATAAGGTAATGATTCTGAAGGAGTTAATGTTCATGCTACATTGACTCCACCCAATCTGCTGATTCACAGTCTGTGGTGGAGACAAGGTGCTCTACTGTAGCTTTTGAAGGGAGCAGACATACCAGCTCCTTAAAATCCTATAAATTATGGCAAATGAAAAATAGCTGTACTTATTAATATCCAGCAATAACCCTTCTTGTTATCAAAAACAGTGCCTTTTTTATAGATACTCTATGGTAATGTCTCCTCTACCACTAATCACGAGGTAGGTCAAGCACAAAGGAGGATTAGTAGCAATGAAGTACCTCACATAACACTTGCCCAGTACCACATATTGATAGAGGTGGTAAGGAGTGGTCATCTGGGAAAATGCTACAGGGTTGTAGCAGTATGAATCTGATCCCTACTATAAGGTGAAAAAAATTGAGAAAGCCCTGAAGAATAGAAAACGCTTTGAATAAATGAGTTTACCAGATTAAGAGGAGACTTAGTGAAGACACTGTCAGCGAGAGACACCAGTCACCATGGAAGCAGCAGAAAGGCTAACTTAGAACTCCAGAGGCAAAACTTCATTCAGTAGCTTGTAAGAATCCCTGCAATAAAGGTATAGGCTAGAAAAGCAAAGAAGTGCCAGCTACATTTAGAAAATACAAAGGTCTTAGTGAAGGAGGTTCTGAAAGGAGCTCTGTAATGGAAGTTTCCAGGAAATAAAGTTAGTGATCCTTAAGGAAAAAAGGAATATCTATATGAAAAATAATGCAAATACCAGGAAGTAAAGACCAGGGAGTATAAAGCAGAGCTCTCAATTCTCACAGTGAGCATTGCCATCATTAAAACTGAAGAGCTACAAGGAACAGTGAAAAGATGATAGGAAATTTAGTCTGGGACAGCAGGAGTAAGAAGGCCTTAGAGTTTATTTAAGATGAAAATTGGCATTTTTTAAAAATCTAGCAAAAGAGTCTTGCAGAAGAAGAAAGCTTGGAAAAAAAAAAGATTTAAAAGGACTGGAGCTCAATAATTGAGTGCAATTTTAGCAGAAAGATTTATAAAGGCTACAGCCAGAGAATTTGAATATTTGTGTAGAAGGAAAGGCAGGAAAACACCTATTTTACCTAGGACTAACTGGAAAAACACCATTGTGGCAAAAAAAAGCTTGGGAGGAGAAGGTACAGGTTCTGAATGGGTTCATGTTCATGTTGCATGGGTTACACCTATTCTACTGATGTCACACAGTCTGGGTGTGGAGACACGGGGCAAAACCTTACAATGGTCTGAACAACTTGAGCTGCAGTCAGGTGCATGGCAAAATCAGGGCAGGAATCTGGTGACTCATACCTCAATGTCAAGGTCATCTCATAACTATCTTTTAGATTCCTCACGAGAGATTCTCACAGGGTGGTGGTGAGCTGCTAGTTGATGGGTGATGGGGATTATCGTTTGTTAAGATCCTCGTTGACAGTCCAACTCACCTCATTATTATTCCAGTCGTGAATCTACCAAACTCACCAAACAAACTAGACGTTAGGAAAACTCGGCATGGACATCAAAGCTCGTACCTGGCAGATTCAGCTCTCTGCATGCTCCAAACTACCTCCGCATTGGACCCCAGGCACTAACATCTCAGGGCATACTTCAAGGGCACCAGGTACACACATTCGTGCCCATGGACATTGGCAAACGACATGTGCCAGCCTCTAAGAAACCTCATGGCACATCTCTGATTCGCTCACATGCCACTGGGTGCACTCTCACTGTAAAGCTGCAGCAAGGTCACTGCGTGCTCAGGCATACACACCAAGCTCATGGACTGCACCAGGATGCAGCTCTGGGCTCCTTGCTTGGACCCATAGTACTCGCTCATTCTGAGCCAACCTGAATGCTCACAACACATTGCCTTGCCTTGCCCCTTCAGCTAGCAATACCCAGCTTATATCATTGCTGAGATAACAATAGTTGCACTCAATTATTGAGCTCCAGTCCTTTTAAATCTTTTTTTTTTCCCAAGCTTTCTTCTTCTGCAAGACTCTTTTGCTGGATTTTTAAAAAATGCCAATTTTCATCTTAAATAAACTCTAAGGCCCTCTTACTCCTGCTGTCCCAGACTAAATTTCCTATCATCTTTTCACTGTTCCTTGTAGCTCTTCAGTTTTAATGATGGCAATGCTCATTGTGAGAATTGAGAGCTCTGCTTTATACTCCCTGGTCTTTACTTTCTGGTATTTGCATTTCTTTGCTTTTCTAGCCTATACCTTTATCGCAGGGATTCTTACGAGCTACTGAATAAAGTTTTGCCTCTGGAGTTCTAAGTTAGCCTTTTTGCTGCTTCCATGGTGACTGGTGTCTCTTGCTGACAGTGTCTTCTCTAAGTCTCCTCTTAATCTGGTAAACTCATTTATTCTGATGAAGGGTCTAGGCCCGAAACGTCAGCCTTCCTGCTCCTATGATGCTGCTTGGCCTGCTGTGTTCATCCAGCTCTACACCTTGTTATCTCAGATTCTCCAGCATCTGCAGTTCCTACTATCTCTTATATCATTGCTGTCTTGCTGTGCCGTTTAGCACCAACACAGAGCCAGGGCATTTGTCATAGTAGTTAGTAGGCCTCAGTCCAGTCAATTGGAATAGCCTTCACTCAGGAATTCCCGCACTGTAATTGAAAGGTGCCCTCTGCTACTAGTCCAGGTCCTGCTTAGGGTGCTCAGTCAGGATCTTCTCCTTATATTGGGTATGAGTGAGATGGTCTTCAGAGGGTCGGTGTGGCCTTGATGGGCCAAATAGCCTGCTTCCACACTGTAGGGATTGTATGATTATACTGGATGAGGAGCTAAATGGCAGACAACGCACCATCTGTCTTAGGTCTTTCTGCTCAATTGTGGGTGTTCTCCTTCGAAAGGAAGGGCAGGCACTATGGAAGATGAAGGTGGTGTCCCAGTTGTGACTGTCTGTGTTGATATCACAGTTAAATCATTTTTAGTATCCATTTAAATAAAAATCTTTTACAATATCTATAACATTGTAACGACACACTTATGATACTATTTTTAAGAGCTTGCTGAGCAGAAATGATCTACCATTTTCCCTAATGAAGTACAGGTATTACTCTTCATTTGCACAAAAGCACTTTGAACAATGAACTTTCCTTCCAATGACATGGTGCTTTTGCTGATGTTTTTCAGATAGTAAGAGGAGAGAACAGCTCTGAAGAAATAAAGAATCCCTCCTTACTTGATCTGTTCAGAACACCACAAATGAGAAAGCGAACATTTATTTTAATGTACTCCTGGTAAGGTCATTTATATAAACTACATGTGGGTTGCTCGAATGTGTTACTGAAAATTAAGACACTTTTTCTGTCTGAAGTACAATAGCACTCTACCTTTGTATACTATTTGCATGACCCTTGTAATTAAGGATTATGTTGAGTTTGGGCAGCACAGTGGTTCATTGGTTAGCACTGCTGCCTCGCAGCGCCAGGGACCCGGGTTTGATTCCACCTTCGGGCGACTGTCGGTGTGGTGTTTGCAAATTCTCCTGTGTCTGTATGGATTTCCTCCGGGTGCTCCGGTTTCCTCCCACAGTCCAAAGATGTGCAGGGCAGGTAGATTGGCCTTGCTAAATTGCCATAGTGTCCAGGGATGTTTAGGTTAGGTGGGTTAGACATGGGAAATGCAGAGGTAGGGGAATGGGTTTGGGTGGGATGCTCTTCAGAGGGGCAGTGTGGACTTGTTGGGCTGAATGGCCTGTTTCCACACTGTAGGGATTCTGTGAAATTAGTACTGTTGAATAAAAAAACCCATACTGACCTGGAAGATTCAAGGCCCAACTTGCGCTCAGTTCATTATTGTAGAAGGAATGCTATAGGCCTTTGTTTTAGGCAGTGGAAAATCATCCTGTCTTGACCTTTAATAACTCCCATTGGAACTGTATGTGTGTAGATGTTGGGGTTCAGACTCAGCAGTTGTCACAATGCCAGCAAGTTTCTGTGCATGACTGCAAGTCAAACAGCACTGATGAAGTTAAAGAAAATTGGGCAAAAGGAGTAGTATTGTTCAACATGAGCAAGCAAAAATGTTTCTCGGTCACAATTCAGCAGGAATATTTGTAAAGATAATTTGATTACAATTTGTAATCAGGTAAAATTGCAAATCATGCAAATTGGCACCATTTGTTATTGGAAGCCATTTACCTGTTGGGTGACAATCTATAATAGCTGTGCTGTCTATTGCAGTGTAACTCTTTTCACCACTCAATTATCGGGTATTAAGGTAAAAGCAAAATCAAATGATGTGCTTTATCGACATCACCTTGCCCCAAAGATTCATAAACCAGGGTTCGCCTGGTGAAAAGTTGCAGTTTCCTGTCCACCCAGCCAGAATTGCGCATGGACCTTATATTCTGGAATACTTTTACCAATCACCACCTCAAAGTCTAACTTGAGTGCTTGGCCTCTGCATTAAAGACATTGGGCAAAATCTCACTGCTTCTAAGCATTTTCCAATGTTGGGACTGAGCGTGGGTCCCACTGCCACTGGTACTGTAAAAGTGCCCACCTGTGCCACATTCCTAATGAAGACATTAACTCGAAAGAACATAATCCAAGATGGTAAATAGGGTATGAATGCGGTTGGGCCAATGTGAGGGTCTGCGGAGATGCTAGCATGGAGTACCACCGCAGCATGAAGAAGGACATCAAGACGGAGGCACTCTTCGAAGATGGAGGAACATTTTAAAATAACTTAGGATAACCAAAGATGTGCAGGTTAGGTGGATTGGCCATGTTAAATTGCCTGTAGTGTTCAGGGATGTGTAGATTCGATGGGTTATAGGGGGATGGGTCTGGGTGGGATGCTCGGAGGGTCGGTGTGGACTTGTTGGGCCAAAGGGCCTGTTTCCACACTGTAGGGATTCTATGAAATGAAGATATGTCTTGTCCAACCAATTGTTGCTAAGCAATAATTGTGACCCTCTTCTCTGGATGACCTGCGACTATAGCTGTGGTCCTGAGATGGAGGTAATGCTGGGGTGTGGGTTGGGTGGGGAGTGGAGGGATTCTGCTGATGTCTGTGGACTGTCACTGGGGAGTCGCTGGGCTTCATCCATAGTTTAAGGATCATCTGTAGCTGGTAAGATCCCGACAGCACTCCAAGTGGCTTATTAACTGGAATGAATGGCTACCATGTCCCCACGGGGGTGAGAGGCTAATGGCTGCTTCCGATGCTCATTCGCTCTGGCAGGATTAGCCAGTGGCTGGATCGTGCCAAGCGGTGATCCAAGTTCCATGTGCCACGTTTAAAATATCGCCCCTTATGTCATCAGACTGGCCTCAGCAGAGCTGGTCAGATTCCCTCAGTAAGGAGCACACACTCATCCCTGAGGAATCTATGATATTGAACAGGCCAGTCTCATTGAGATCAAGCTTTGTGAAGCTTTGTACCAAAATCAACTTTTGCTGTTTTTGACCTGGTGGAGTTTCTCTGGAAGCTTCTGCTGTTCGCAGCGAGTGTTGGGGAGAGTTGATTTTTGGACTGGAGAAATGTCACTAATTTGATTTACCTCACTTCTGATCTTATGGGGGAGGAAGAAATTGTAAAGGATTAATTGAACAAATGAGAAAGAGGTATCACAGAATAAATTTCAATTCTTACTTACAGACATCTACTCCACAGGGTTTACAGACTTAGAAGCCTAATTTGGCTTTTGTTGCTGAAATCCATAGAGTACTTTGCTTTCCCTAGGAGCATCTGGAGAATTATGCTGGCTCTGACTGAAGAATTTCAATACATTTCCATTAAGGAAGCAGCACAGTGAATTGAACTGAACATGACTGTCGTTTTGAATTTTACTTTTTTGCCGCCAACTCCTTCCGGGTTGGAGGATCTCTCCCACATCAGCAAGGCTGAAACACAAAACTATTGACATAAGAAGCATTCCCAGTGCAAGGTGACAGAACACAAAAGAATGTGGCCATTATGGTGTAGATAATGATGTCTTGGAGGAAACAGCAAATCCCTTCATTTTGAAAAACAGCCAGGCTTCTCTAGTCAACAACTCATGCCTCATCATCACCAGTTCTGTCATGGCTTCTCTGTTGCTTCAGCAGGCCCTACATATACCCTACCAGGATGAAGAATCTCCTTTAGGAAGGAGATCTGTCATTCATATCTGGTCTGGCCTATATGTAAATTCTGTAGAACTTCAATTCCCACCTTCCCAGGTCCAACAGGTTTACTCTGAATTTCAAAAACACAAAGCAGAACTAACAATGGGATATACTTAAGCAAAGTACACCACAAAATATTACAAAAATAGCAATACATTACAGCTTACCCATATAATGCTTGTAATTGTAAGTGAACTTGTTTATGTGGAAGATCAGACCAAAACAAGTGATCAGTCTTGACCTCCAGTCACTGATCAGATGGCCTCTGCTGAGCTAGCTTACTATCACCCTGAGGCAGGCTTTCTTATACTCTTTTTTCCAAACAAGCAAAGCTGAATGTTCAAACTCTGACATTGTCCAGTCTCCAGCAATTTGATCAGTTTGACCACTGGCCTAAATCACAAATGTGTCCTGTTTTCCATGACCAGCTTGACCAGACATTTACTTGTTTCCCTGGAAAGAGGCTTCTCTCTTGGTCTTCACGACCTTTGACCCTGGCTTAGCTTGTTGCCTCCTATATGTCATCCAATCAACCATATGACATTTACACAGCGCAATTCTGTGGTTAAGCACACTCTGTTTAGCTGATAAATAGTCATGTTGTCATCTACTTCACTGAGCCAGTTTTAAAACAAGACTCTAACCTTTCAGAGTTGCTGTAACAGTTTAGTCCATTACTGCTGAGTTTACACCACCTAATTAAACATACATACTTTACTTCAGAAAGACGCAGAAACATTAAGATTTTTCTAATTATTAGGTCATCATCTAACCATTGACATTTCAACAGAGCAGACTTTATCTTTTTTTTTCTCAACACATTTCATTTCGGCCAACCCGGAAAATTTTAGATTAGCACCAACACCCTAGATCCTCTGTCATTCTTGTCTGGCCTATATATAACTCCAGATCCAAGCAATATGATTAACTTTTAACTGCTCTGAGGAATGGCCTAGTAAGATGCTCAGTTGAATTCAAGAAGGTGATTCATCACCTCCTTCAAACAGGGGCTTGATTTGCTCAGTTGGCTGGAAGGCTGGTTTGTGATGCAGAGTAATGCCAACAGCACGGGTTTAACTCCTGCACTGACTGAGATTACCTCTGAAAGACGCCTTCTCAATCATTCTCCCTCACCCCAACCTCGCCTGAGGTGTGGTAACCCTCAGGTTAAACCACCATCTGTTGTCTCTCTCTCTGTCAAATGAGAGAGTAGCCCTACGGTCCAATAGAGATATAGTGACTTTACCCCTTACTAAAGGGCAATTAGGGACAAGAAATAAATGCTTTGCCAACATCCTAAACATGAATAAGAAAGGCTAATTGGTAAACCTGAAGGGTTTTCATTGGGTGAACTACCAAATCCTAGCATTCATCTGGGACTGGAAGAAGAACAGTGATCAGGAGAGAGGTCAGACACAGTAATTGCTGAAGGGCCCATTGACTATGGTTCCAGATGACAGCCTGTAGTCTCATGGTCACATTTTGGTTAAAAATGTTACTAGGTCTAAATGCCATTGACCCATTAGTTCACGAGGACTGTCTGTCGGTATGAATGAGCCTCTAAGCATGAGCAGCTATAAAAAACATAGGACAAAAAGCTATTTAATTTTTGTCCAATCCCTTCTTGTTTAATGGAGCTTTAAAGAGATTGAAAAGGTTAACTTTTGATTTCAGCGGTGAGTGTGCGCAGTGAATGTAATCAGTATCAGGGGTTCAGAGGAACAAAAGCTGTTGTATTTATTGTATCTCTTTATTTCAGGTTCACAAACAATTTGGTGTACCTTGGGCTTATCTTGCGTTTAGGAATCCAGGGAGGTGACAGTTACACAGATCTCTTAGTCGTGGGTGCAGTGGAACTTCTAGCAGCGATTCTTGGTATCCTTGTGGTCGATCGCTTTGGACGGCGCAGTCCCTTGTTGATTTCCAACATACTGGCAGGGACATTCTGTCTACTGGCGGCATGTATTTCAGTTGGTAAGGGCTCACCAATTCTGTAAAGAAATGCTTATCTCCCTAATACATGGGAGAAATGTTAAAGAGAAACCTCAGGTTTTGCTGAGTTTCGATTTTCTCCTTGAACCCGGCCCTTTTCTGCAGAGTGGAAACGGGCACATGGAATCGGTTTCAGTTCTTATCCAGAGGATCGCTGTTTCAGGCAGAGCACTAACCTTCCTGTGCCAAACGTACAATTATAACCAAACAGTGGGACATGGCTTCTTGAATTATCGTTGTAAATGTGATGGGAGAAGAAATCTTTTCACTCAACAAGTGGTTAGTGTATGGAATGCACTGCCTGGAGATGGGTTTAATGGTCACATTGGATGGTTGTTCAGATGGACGTGATATCACAAGCATATGGGGGGAAAGCAGGTTGACATTGGACTCCACCTATGACCCATGAAGCTTCCCCACCCCGCCCATCCTTCATGTTCCATTTTGTGTTGCTGTCCCTGTGGCCCCTAGGAGCTTTCAACCTCTGTTCATTCCTATTGAGCCCCTTTATACAAATATTAATATCCCCACCTTTCCACCAGAGCCCATGACCTTAGAAATCCCCCTGTCCTTCTTGGTTTTACTCCCTCCATATGTAGAGGCCATTACCTGTGTGAACCTTTCCCCCACCGCCCCTAGCCCTCCATAACTCCCTCCTACTCTATTTGTGGGCAAACCCTGCTCTTTCCAATTGTCCCCTGTAACAGTGACAGTTCCCTCAACAGCCCAGTCCAATGAAGTCCATGCCCAGTCTTCAGTTGGCCATTTTCTCCAGGACTCCATGGACTGCCACCTGATACGTTCCCTGAATATTATTGAACAAACCTCCAAGACTGACTTGACAGGGCAACCCTTACTGAGCATGGCCCAGTCCCAGGACTGATGCCTCCACAACTCCCTGAGTGACTTACCTGTAATCCCTGGAATGGTTGCACTTGACTTGGAGGACTGTCTGTGCCCGTAACCCCAGGCAGGAATGATATGGACGCCCAGATGCTGACTGACTATGTCCAAACCCCTGAACTGGACTCAGACAAGTGCCTCATTTGAGTGTGGCAGTATACCCAGACTGACTGTCTTGACTCCACAATGAGCTGCTCCCCTCCAAGTATCATACATCACCCTCTTGGTAAATGACATGCAGGAGTTTGCTGCATAAACAGCTGGCACATTTGCAGATGTACCATTGATACAGCACAGAACCGCAGAGTGGCATGTCTAGTCCCTTAACTGTTCAGTGCTGCCAACAATAACAGGCTGCCAACCTCTTTCCCTGCACTAAATCACCACGCAACAAAGCAGCATAGAGGCTGTAAGCCCATAATTCAGTGCTCACGTCAGTGTGCATGCCCTAATGGGATTGAATGAGCTTTATCGTCATATGTACTCAAATGATACAGTGAAGAGTTTATAAGTCGCCACTTATAACACCAGTATAGGCACCTAGGTACAACGTCTTCAGTTACAGATTAGTGACAATGTAGCAATGTCACCAGCACACAGCGCCATCTTATGTACACAGTACCTAGGTGCAATCCTTTGTTACAGAATAGAAAAATCAAGAAAAAAGTATTACATTACAGCTATACGCAGTATAATCATAGGTCAGAGAGACAAGAGGCAAAATTTTTAAAAAAGTCTTTCCCCAAGGGCTCCGTACCGGGGCACTGCCACCACACTCCGTACCGGGGCACTGCCGCCACGCTCTGTACCAGGGCACTGCCGCCACTCTCCGTACCGGGGCAGAAGACGGTTAGTGTTGGGCTGCAAGACTTCCTTTCATCAAAACCCATGATCGATTTTCCACTGCATATAGCATAAAAATGACTGGGGAGAGCATTGATAAATGTTTTAAACATCAGGTATTTTGATGGTGATTTCCTTTTTAGAAAATGTATGATGCAATTGAATGGGTGTGTTTAGTGTTCAATGGAAATCATGTACCAAAAGTGACTGACTGTTCTGCTGTATTGCCAACTCTACATTTCATTCTACATTCTTATATCAACTTTGTTTTCTCATCTCAAAGAAATGCACTGGCTCAAAAGTGCCGTTGCCACATTGGGCAGATGTGGAACAACAATGTCACTCAGTATACTCTTCCTTGTGACCAATGAGCTACAACCCACTTCAATAAGGTAACTAATAAAACCTTTTCAATGACTGTAGATTGAACGAAGAAAGGATAGATGTGCCATCTCAGTCTTTTTCTCCTTATACCCCTTTTCAACATCACCGATACCCTTACGAAAGATACTTTCTAACCTACTGGCTCAATCTTTTCAGGCAGGGCATTCCAGAATGATCACATGCAGCAAATTGGCAAAAATCCTCCCCTCATCTTCCCTGGTTATTTTGCTAGTTCATTTGCATTTGTCTCCTCCTTTGGGGTGGCATGGTGACTCAATGGTTAACACTGGTGCCTCACAGCCCCAGGGTTAATTCCAGCCTCAGACAACTGTTGTTAAGAGTTGCCTCTGCACGCTCTTGTTTCCTCCCACAGTCCAGAGATGTGCAGGTTAGGTGGATTGGCCAAGCTAAATTATCCCATAGTATCTAGGGATGTGCAGGCTTGATGAATTAGCCATGGGAAATGCAGAGTTACAGGCATAGGGTAGAGGCTGAGGCTGGGTGGGATGCTCTTCAGAGGGTTGGTGTGAACTTAATGGGCTGAATGGCCTGCTTCCACACTGTAGGGATTCTATGGTTCCTCTCATTACTGACTATCCTGCCAGCAGAATCATTTCTTCCTATTGATTCTTTTGAAATCCCCCAAAAAGCTCTATAAAATCCCTCCTTGCCTTTCTCCCTTCCACAGAGAAAAATCCAAGGTCTTTCTGTGCCACTGAAGTGCAGGTAGGACAGGCCTGTACAATAATAATTCTGTGGTGCGAACCAATAGTGTGTAACTCCAGAGATGAAAAGAGAATAGTAAAGGCAACAAAATGGATGCGTTCATGAGGGTTTGTTGGAGAAATAATGGAAATAAGGTAGCAGTTTTTTTTTAAAGATTAAATGTGGGATACAACAGAATTCAACACAATTGAATCCAATACAAACCCAACTTTTCTTTAAGGGATAACAAGGTGCAGAGCTGGCCAAGCAGCATCAGAGGAGCAGGAAAGCTGACGTTTCGGGTCGAGACCCTTCTTCAGAAATGGGGGAGGGGAAGGGGATTCTGAAATAAATAGGGAGAAAGGGGGAGGCGGATAGAAGATGGATAAAGGAGAAGATAGGTGGAGAGGAGACAGGCAGTTCATAGAGACGGGGTTGGAACCAGTAAAGGTGAGTGTAGGTGGGGAGTTAGGGAGGGGATAGGTCGGTCCAGGGAGGACGACAGGTCAAGGAGGCGGGATGAGGTTAGTGGGTAGGAGATGGGGGTGAGGCTTGAGGTGGGAGGAATGGTTAGGGAGGTGGGGACGAGCTGGGCTGGTTTTGGATGCGGTCGGGGGAGGGGAGATTTTGAAGCTTGTGAAATCCACATTGATACCCTTGGGCTGCAGGGTTCCCAAGCGAAATATGAAATGCCGTTCCTGCAGCTTTCAGGTGGCATCATTGTGGCAATGCAGGAGGCCCAGGATGGACATGTCGTCTGAGGAATGGGAGGGGGAGTTGAAATGGTTTGCGACTGGGAGGTGTAGTTGTTTGTTGCGAACTGAGCGTAGGTGTTCTGCAAAGCGGTCCCCAAGTCTCTGCTTGGTTTCCCCAATGTAGAGGAGGCCACAACGGGAACAGCGGGATACAGTATACCACATTAGCAGATGTGCAGGTGAACATCTGTTTGATGTGGAAGGTCTTCTTAGGGCCTGGAATGGGGGTGAGGGGGGAGGTGTAGGGGCAGGTGTAGCGCTTCCTGTGGTTGCAGGGAAAAGTGCCGGGGGTGGTGGGGCTGGTGGGGAGTGTGGAGCGGACAAGGGAGTCACGGAGAGAGTGGTCCCTCTGGAAAGCAGATAAGGGTGGGGAGGGAAAAATGTCTTTGGTAGTGGGGTCAGATTGCAGATGGCGGAAGTGTCGGAGGGTGGTGCGTTGGATTCGGAGGTTGGTGGGGTGGTACGTGAGGATGAGGGGGATTCTGTTTTGGTTATTATTGCGGGGAGGGGGTGTGAGGGATGAGTTGCAGGAAATGCAAGAGACACGGTCGAGGGCATTTTTGACCACTGTGGAGGGGAAGTTGCGGTCCTTGAAAAACGAGGACATCTGGGATGTCCGGCAGTGGAATGCCTCATCTCGGGAGCAGATGTGGCAGAGACGAAGGAATTGGGAATAGGGGATGGCCTTTTTGCAGGAAGGTGGGTGAGAGGAGGGGTATTCTAGGTAGCTGTGGGAGTTGGTAGGCTTGAAATGGATATCGGTTTCCAAGTGGATGCCGGAGATGGAGACAGAGAGGTCCAGAAAGGACAGAGAGGTATCAGAGATGGTTCAGACGAACTTAAGGTTGGGGTGGAAGGTGTTAGTGAAGTGGATCAACTGTTCGAGCTTCTCATGGGAGCACGAGGCGGCACCGATACAGTCATCGATGTAACGGAGGAAGAGGTGGGGGATAGGGCCAGTGTAGCTTTGGAAGAGGGATTGTTCCACGTGTCCTACAAAGAGGCAGGCATAGCTTGGGCCCATGCCGGTACTCATGGCCACCCCCTTTGTCTGTAGGAACTGGGAGGAATTGAAGGAGAAGTTGTTAAGGGTGAGGATGAGTTCAGCTAAGCGGATAAGGGTGTCAGTGGAGGGGGACTGTTCGGGCTGTGGGACAGGAAGAAGCGGAGGGCCTTTAGGCCATCTGTATGGGGAATGCGAGTATATAGGGACTGGACGTCCATGGTAAAGATGAGGTGTTGGGGACCAGGGAATTGGAAGTTTTGGAGGAGGTGGAGGACGTGGGTGGTGTCACGGATGTAGGTAGGGAGTTCCTGGACCAAGGGGGAGAAAATGGAGTCGAGATAAGTAGAGATGAGTTCGATGGGGCAGGAGCAGGCGGAGACAATTGGTCAACCAGGGCAGTCAGGTTTGTGGATTTTGGGAAGGAGATAGAAGCGGGTGGTGCGGGGTTGGGGATCAATGAGGTTAGAGGCTGTGGATGGGAAGTCACCTGAAGTGATGAGGTTGTGGATGGTCTGGGAGATGATGGTTTGGTGGTCGGGGATGGGATCATGATCAAGGGAGCAGTAGGAGGAGGTGTCAAAGAGTTGGCGTCTGGCCTCGGCGATGTAGAGGTCAGTGCGCCATACTACAACTGCGCCTCCCTTGTCCGCGGGTTTTATGGTGAGGTTGGGGTTGGAGCGGAGGGAGCGGAGGGCTGCACGTTCTGTGGGGGAGAGGTTGGAGTGGGTGAGAGGGGTGGAGAGGTTGAGGCGATTATGTCTCGACGGCAGTTGGAGATGAAGAGGTCAAGGGAGGATAGGAGGCCTTGGGGTGGTGTCCAGGAGGATGGGGTGTGTTGGAGGCTGGTTATCTCAGTTCCACTTTTCTTTAATGGAGCCTGATTTACTTACTCTCAACTGCATCCTCTCTACCTTTTCTGTTCCTGCCAACTTTATGCTGCTAATGCTTTGATTTTCTTCCCTCATCTGCTCCTTTCTATCTTTCATCTCCTTCTTGCCTATCTGCAAACTTGTCCTTCAGTCTGTAGCCATTTATTTCTCTGTCAGCACTTGGTTTTGGTTTATTTTGTTTGCCTGCTCTCTCTTTTCTTGGTGTAAAATACTAATGAAGTAATTGTTGTTGCTTTAAAACAACAGGACTTTTGGTGTTTCAGCATGTTCGTCCCTGAGTGCCATTGGTGGGATTGCTGCACCATTTGTGCTCTTCAAATCAGCGATCATTTGGAGCGAACTTCCTCTGGTAATTTTTGGTGAGTTTTTGAAAGCACTTAATTGAATGAATTTATTTTATCCAATTTTTGGAGAGCAGAACTATTGAGTCCATTCTCCCCAAGATGTTGAAACTATGTCACAGATAGTATCAAAAAGCTATTATTGAAAACGTCAAAACTAAACTTACTGAATTTTTGTTAGGTAAATATATTAAGGATTAAGGAACCAAAATGGGTAGATAGCATTAAGATACAAATCATCCATGACCCTACTGAATGACAGAATGAATTGAGAGGGCTGAATGGCCTCCTCCTGTTACTCTGGTAGATGATTTTTCATCCTCTTAGATGTTCTTAATGGAGGTTGTTGTTCCTGAAGTCAGCATGTGGCCGATTACAGACCCAGGAGACCCAAACCTCTCTGATGAAATAATTACTTTCTTCCTTGTAGTATCCTGGATTTCTGGACCAGGTAATTGCTTTTCAATCGGAACAGGCATTCTCTTTTTTGCGGTATCATGGGAGTTCATATCAAGCAATTTCTCTTTTTTATTTAAATGTGTCCTGAATTTGTGGATGTTGGTCTGGCTTCAACAGAATCATATTCAGCTCATCTCCACTTTCTATAAGCAAATCTTTGCTCTCAATCTACCGATACATGAAGCATCACGTCATAGAGTCATTAGGGTCTACAGCATGGAAACAGGCCCTTTGGCCCAACTTATCCATGCCACCCAGTTTTCACAATTAAACTAGTCCCATTTGCCTGTGTTTGGTCCAAATCCTTCCATACCAATCTCATCTATGTACCTGTCTAAATGTTTCTTAAATGATGAAATTGTATTTGCTTCCACCACTAGCTGTGGCAGCCTATTCCAGACACTCACCACTCTCTAAGTGAAAAATATTGCCTTTCTGGAGACTTTTGTATTTCTCCCCTCTCACCTTATACCCTCTAGCTTTAGACTCCCCTATTATGGGGAAAAGCTGTTGGCTATATACCTTATCTATGCCTCTGATGATTTTCTATACCTCTATAAGGTCACCCCTCAGTCTCCTACACTCCAGGGAGTAAAGCCCCAACATATCCAACCTCTCCTTATAACTCCAACCTTCCAGTCCAGGTAGCACCCTAGTAAATCTTTTCTGTACTCTTTCTAATTTAATAATATTCTTTCTATATTATGGCGACCACAACTCTACGCAGTACTCCAAATGTGGCCTCACCAACGTCTTGCACAGTTGCAACAAGACATCTCAAATCCTATACTCAGTGTTCTGACCGATGAAACCAAGCATGCCGAAAGCCTTCTTCACCACCCCGTCTACCTGTGGGTCCATTTTCAAAGAGCTATGAACCTGTAGCCTTAGAGATAGTAGGAACTGCAGATGCTGGAGAATCTGAGATAACAAGGTGTAGAGCTGGATGAACACAGCAGGCCAAACAGCATCAGAGGAGCAGGAAGGCTGACGTTTCGGGCCTAGACCCTTCTTCAGAAACCTTCTTCTTTGATTGTGTATGTCCTGCCCTGGTTTGACCCACCAAAATGCAACACTTTGCATTTATATTTCAACTTGTTGATTAAGTTTGACATCTTCATTCACTACCCATGGTTGTCTTTATGGTGGTGAATGAGATATTTTCACATTCTCACTCATGTTACTGGAAGAATACTGCTCACTCGCCACGATTTTTGGACTGGCAATTCTGCTTTGGGAGACAACAAACCAAAATGTTCTGGTGATGTGTGATGAGGCAGGTTTAATGAATAATCTGAGACTGAATGATTCCTTCAGAAACAGTGACCATAACGTGGTAGAATTTAGCATTCTATTTGACAACAAGAAACATGAGTCCGAACCAACGGTGCTAAACCAAATTACAAAGGAGTAGAGACTGAATTGGCTGAAGTGGACAAGGGAAGGAATTTAGCAAAGAAAATGGTTGAAGCACAATTGCAGATGTTTAAGAAAATAGTTCATGACTCGCAAAGGGACATATCCCTGTGAGAAAGACTGATTCTAGGAAGGGGATATGTCAACTGTGTTTAACCAAGGACTATAAGGATCGCATCAAATTGAAAAAAAAACACAATTTGGCAACCATTAGTCATAACATAGTGGATTGGAAGTTTTAAAAACTAACAAAAGACAACCAAAGAAGAAGTAAAGATGGAGACAGTAAACGTTTAGGGTAAAGTAGCAAATAGGAACAGAGGAAGAGGAGTAGGCCATTCAGACCCTTGAGCCTGTTCTGTCATTTAATAAGATCATGGCTGATATGTAGCCTAACTCTGTATACCTGCCTTTAGCCCATATCCCTTAATACCTTTGCTTAACAAAAATTTATTATCTCAGATTTAAAATGAACAACTGATCTAACATCCACTGCCATTTGTGGAAGAAAGTTCCAAATCTCCTCCACCCTTTGTGTGCAGAAATACTTCCCAATATCTCTTCTGAATGGTCTAGCCCTAATTTTTAAATTATGTTCCCTAGTTCTAGAATCCCCAACCAGTAGTAATAGTTTTTCTTTGTCAACCTTGTCTTTTCCTGTTAATATCTTGAAAACTTTGATCAGGTCACCCCTTAACCTTCTAAATTCTACAGAATATTATGAAAATGGACAGTAAATATCTATAAAGAGCAAAACAGATTCCAAAGTGATTGTAGGCCCCTGAGAGAACACAGCTGGGAAAATAACAATGGGGAATCAGGAACTGGCAGAGTCATACAGCCATAGAGTCATACAGCATGAAAACAGACCCTTTCGTCCAACTAATCCACGGCAACTTTGTTCCCAAACTAAAATAGTCCCACCTGCCTGCATTCGGCCTTTATCCCTCCAAACCTTTCCTATTCATGTACTTACCCAAATGTCTCTAAAATGTTGTAGCTGTACCTACATCCAACACTTCTTCTGGCAGTCCATTCCATACAGGAACCACTCTCTGTGTAAAAAAAGTTGCCCCTCATGTCCTTTTTAAAACTTTCTCCTCTCATCTTAAAAATATGCCCCCTAGTTTTGAACTACCCCATCTTAGGAAAAAGACCTTTGCTATTCACTTTATCTATGCCCCTCATGATTTTATAAACCTCTGTAAGGTCACCCCTCAATCTCCTAAGCTCCAGTGAAAAAAGTCCTAGCCTATTCAGCCTATTTTTATAATTCAAACCCTCCATTCCCAGCAACATGCCTGGTAAATCTTTTCTGAACCCTCTCAAGCTTAATAATACCCTTCTTATAACAGGGTAACCAGAACTGCACACAATACTGTGCATCAATAAGATGAAGCAAGGGATGGCAGATGCTAGAAATCTGTAACAAAAACGGAAATTACTGGAGAAACTCAGCTGGTCTAGCAGCATCTGTGGAGAGAAAACACAGTTAATGCTTCCAGTCCAGTTCTGAAGAGGGGTCACTGGACACAAAACGTTAATTCTGCTTTGTCTCCAAAGTTTATATTTTGCATCAGTGTTCAGGGTGGACTATTAGTATTCCAAAAATGCTAAATACTCAAGAACAAAAGGAGGAAAAGGAAATTATTGCTACAAAAAAAGTACCAGGAAAGTGGGGTGCCAATCTCCCCATGTCTGTCATGTCTAGGGAAAATGTCAAGAACCACATAGGGCAGCTCCAAACTGACAGGTACTTGTCCTGGTACACATCAGACTTTTAAAGATGATGTGCCAATGAATTCTCGGATATCAACAGATAAGTGCATTATTCCAGGGATGGCATGTGGAAAGATGGGACAGAAATTGGAAGTAAGAGACTCCAAAAATTAGTTAATTAATGAGGCGAGCTTGGTAAGATACGATGAGAGTAATTGTTAAGCCTCACAGCTAGAACTCCTCCAAAAAACTGGATGCAACTTAGCCTTTGCCAAAATATGTAAGATTCAGTCCTTGGTGTTCTAGTTCATTGATTTTTTTTCTCAGATTATAGTCAGTCAGGCATTAACCATCGTTGCTTGGTTACCACCCTCAACAACAGTTAACGGGCTGACACAAAGAGAAAGAGAGCCAAATCTGTATCAACTAACAATTAACTTTGAGTTTAGTTAAAGCAGACATACCCAGACATGAAGCAGACATCTATGCGCATACCCATTGGGTTTCTCTGATGTTCCCTGGACAGTCACAGAAAAAAAGGCTGATACCCAAGAATACGAGTTCACGCTGGTCAGACAATCCTTTGGGTCCTCGATGTAGTCTCCACACTTCCAATGTTGGGTGTTCCACTTGGGATCTTGTTGCTCTCTGAAGTTTTCACTGGTTGCACGCTCAAAATCCTTCATTTCTATCTTTTTCCCTTAGCTTCCCAAACTGTGGCATCTTGCTTTCATTGGCTCTGGATCATCTGCCGAGCCTGCGTCCTTTTGTTATAGGCTCTGGCCCAAGGACACTGGTAGCATTACCTCATTTCTCTTCCACCAAATACAGATTTGTACCTTGTGTCATTTTCTTTGCTTTCCTCTGAATCAAGCTAGTTCTGGCTAGTTCCACCCAACACAAGCCAGTGGCTGGGGCTTGGGTTACTTCAGTTCACAAACTGCTGGTTTTATGTATGAGCTGCCCTTGGCTGACACCATCCTAGAGATTGAATTGGTCATACTTCACATTTGTGATGACTTGGGGAAAAGTGAGGATCAATGTCCAGTGCACTCTTTCCACCAGGACTGTGACAAGAGTTTGAGTCCAGGATCTTTAAACATGGACAGTGTGAAATTGGATAAGATTAATTGGTAAAGGATAAAAGGACAGAAATCAGATTTGATGCTGTATCGTAAGGTAGCATTTGGAGCAGCGAAAATATCCTCCAAATAAAGGAAATAGAGCTGACTCTTTTACAAGAATTAACAAAGTCAAAGGCCACAGAATTGGCAAAGAAAATAAAGATGAAATTTTCTGCAAAAACTAGGAAGGCAGAGATAATTAACATATTAGCACAGGGACTGGCACAAATACAAAAGAGATCAGGTACTCCAAGCAGTGAGTGTACGGACATAGTTATGATTGAGTTACAGTTAAGGCAG